TGATTATTTTGATTGCAGATTTTGTTTCTTATTTACAAGGTGTAAGAAATAATCCAAAGGTGGGTTTCTAAAGAAACACAAGTTTTGAGGAGGGATTTAAAGGAAATAAGGGATGTGGTATCATGAGGACATTCAGAAAAGCAGTCCCAGGAGCAGCAAGGGCAAGTCAGAGTTGTTCTGCATCAGCAGGTGAATAGTGGAGCTGGTCATGCATCAGGGGAGGGGGTGGAAGATATCAGGACATCAGTATGTACCAGTGTGAAGATCCAAAGCTCTGGAGAGTTTGAAGGTGAGGACCAATAGCATGTATAGGATTTGGAGGAAGAGAAGAAGTCAGTGAAAAGAGTTACAGTAAAAAAGTCCCAATGTCAGTGAGATATGTAAGGTGGATAGTATTTCCAAAAGAAGGCTAGGTGCACAAGAATGGACAAAGATGAAATAATGGGATTAATAATTACTTTTTCTTCATGATTGTTTTCTGTTCATCTCCAAGGTCAGTATTTGCCGTTTGTGTGATATAGGTAGACTTCACAGATTGCAGAGACTGTTATACTGATTCTCTCCCAGTTTGCATAATTTGCATGTAATGATGTAAATTGTGTGATGGCATACTTTCATATTTAACGGTCATTTGTGAATTACATATATTCCCCCCTCTCAGTCCATGTAAATGAGGCATCACTGCAACAAAATTTTTGTTTTCTCTTCCAGCTGTTTCCTGTGGGGAATTTTTTAATGTTTTCAAAATAATTTATTTAGCCAATCGTTCTGCAAGTTGGATGGCTAGTAACAGGAAGCATGAACACCAGGCCATGTACTCTTGTGGCCCCGGTGTGAATTTTCTTCCTCACATTCCAATTGGACTTGAAGGGGTGGGGAAGGCGAGCTTTCCTATTCAGAAAACGATTACCATGGTGAGTGTGGTCAGTAACAAAACACCCATTTACAAGAAGGCATACTAGGAAGGCAATCCTGGCTCCCCAAGATCTTCTCTGCCATCTTTCAGTTTCCTTTGCATTTTTTTCTGGTGTAGTAGGCCCACTACCAAAAAAAACATTGGGCTGAAACTGCCCATCATATTTATTATGTCTGAATGCCTATGGGGTCCACAGGCATTCCTGCAGATCAAGATGATACTAGAGACTGGCATTTTGCTTTGCAGTATTCACTTTCCAATTTTAAACCAAAATAATCTTTAAAAAATTCAGCTGAAGTAAGAAGTCCATTGCTTACCTTTCTGTGGTATACAATATTTGTATGTGATTTATAGTAAACACAATAAGCACCATTTACGATTCCCTTGGAGATGAGGTAGACAGGTATATAAAAGGTGAGGCCTTGTAACCCACTTGTATGCTGCCAAAATAACTCTTCTAAGGACAGGGATTCCAAAGATTTCAAAAGTCTTCCTCTCTAAAAAATATCCCCCCACAATGCTTATTACGTACTGTATTTTCTTTTTAAATTGTAAGCTCTTTTGATTATTCTTTTAACAGGAAAGACTGTACATACACATCCATTATGCTACTCCATTTTAGACTAAGTAACAGTATGCAAAGTGCAAAGAAAGTGACTAGTATAATAAGTACATTAAGACGGTTTGATCATTTAGAGAGAATAAATGCAGATCAAATTGCAAAGCAAATGCATGGTGGAAGAATGAATGAGTTGGGAGAGGGAGGACCAAGAAAAGCATGGTTGGATGGTACTGATTAGATCCTCAAAAAAGAGAGGCAAGAAATTTAAAGAGCAAAACACAATTACAGTATAAGTAGTGTATGGATGTGATAGAACCAAGGGTGGTTTGCTATGTGAGAAAGGAATGGAGTAGGGTAAATGATGTTAGCGTAAACCACATTTAGTTTTTTTTTCTTATCTCATTTCTTTGATTTATTTTGCTTACTATTTCTTACCCAAGTAGATCATTTGGAAACAAATACTATACTAAGGTTAGTAGTTACTAGTCTGGAAGAAGCCCAGACTTCTGCATTATGTTGGGAAGAAGGAAAGAGAGTATGTGTTTCTTGGATCCTTCAAAAACCACAGCAAATGTGACACCAAGAGCTATCTAGGTGTCATTCTGAGATATCATAATGCAGGCAGTTTCCTCACAGCAAGGATTTCCACTGTGTTTGTCTGTTTTGTTCCTTGTTAGGCTGCAGTTGATTCATAAATCAGCTCTGTACTGCACATTCACTCACACATCGCAGAGAGGTGCCAGGTCAGCATATGGTATTGTTTGCTTAGTTTTCAGACCCCCATCCACCAATGCCATGGGGAAACTTTTACAAAAGTCATATGAGATTTCTGCTTGAAGGAATAGTACAATCATTTCTACCTCTGAGTAGTGTTATTGAATATGACAGTCCCCTTTTGTCTTAAGTGTGGTTTTTGTTGCACAGAAGTGAAGTATGCACAACAGTGGTATAACCAAGGACCTCCCTAAGGTGCTTTTTCATCACTCAGGATGAAACTATGGATCCTCCTGTATTGTCTCTTCCTCAGCACAGCTCTGGAGTCATTTAGTTCTTTATATTGGAATTGTTCATAAATCTGGGCACCATCTGTCATTCTTGTTCGCTTTCACCTTTGCCTAATTGCTTAGCATGTTGATTTAATGCTAGACTGATGTGGGGTTAATTACAAGACTATTCCTTGTGATCTTTGCCTAGTGCTGTCTCCATCTACTCTAGTGCCTAATCTCTGTTTGCACAATAAAGGTATTTCCTTTCGTTTCTTAGATCATATTCCTGCTTCTGCCACCAGTTCTGGCAACCTGTCTCATGACCCAGATTTCAGAGGACATTATAAAACCCACTTTTTCTTATGCAGCAGCCTCATTTTGCGCTGAGATCATATACTGCTTCACACTTCAGGCACGCAGGCCATATGGTTAAATGTTTTTGATTTAAAGATAGAAAATGAGAAAATATTAGATTCTGCACTTTCCCCCAATATTCTGGCTTTCATCTATTATGTATGTGTGTGTGTGTGTGTAAGATTTTGTTAAGGATTTTAATTACAATAGTAAAAGCTAATAGAGGCTAAAAGAAAAAGAATAGAAAGAGAATGGTGCAAAGGAGAAGAAAAAATGTAGAAAATAGAAAAAAGGAAAGTAAGAATATAGTAAAGAAAGAAAAAATATATAAAGAAGTGACTTCCAACCTTCATCACAAGTATAAACAATTTTTGTAATTCTTCACCCCCTCTTAGTTTGCAACAAATGATCTCTTCATCCCGTATCCCATCTCTTATCTATAGACAAATCCATAAAGCATCATCTTTTCAGCCTAGTGTCAGCAGAAACTCCATTAAGGGTTACAGGAAATAACAGCATATCTTATTTTAACCTTGATCAAATAAACCAACCTTATATTCCTTCCTTTTACTTCTAACAGTCCTAATCTTTAA